GAAGTTTCGTATGATTTTTAGGTTCCCTTAATGTCTCATAAAGATGGTAACATTGTTTATGTGCCGAAATATATTTTTTGTCCTATGATTTTTAGAGAATAGAGGAGGAGGGTTCCTAGAGTTGCAGGGTAAAATTTATAGGGTCCATATTGATACTAGGCATTGCAGAGTTCTTGGCCTCCTAGTAGTTTTTGGATTGGGGGTAAGTGATGCTTGTCATTTTTTGGGTTTTTAAGTGGATTTTTGGGATTTTGGAGTTCCTTGATGTATTAGTACCTGTAGAATCTCCACGATTTCCTAGAAATTTTGATATTCCTTAAGGTTCTGGGATCTTTAAACGGATTCTTGCTACTGTAAAAGTGTTTAAGTCTCTTAGGGTATGTAACTGCTGTAATATAGCAGTTAGAGCCCATAGGGTTCTGAGTCTTTTAGATGTTATGGTTCTTGGTGCTTCGTACGGTTTTAAAACCGTTCAGTTCTTAACTTCCTTTGAGTTTTCAAGGCTTGTAGGGTCTGTACGTTCCTCATGGTATCTTCATTCTTGGCAGAAGCTGGATTTTTAGCGCCTTCAAGGTTCGTACGATTGTTCTATTTGGGATATTTTCCGCCTGCCTTCCGTTCTAGTCTCCGGGATCGTATCGTCGCCTGTCGATATTTTTTCTTCCGCTTCCGTTAATTCTGCTAGCGCATACCTATCTTGCTGTCCTCGGGGTGGAGGTCTGAGTATTCTCGGAGTCCCCAGGTATAGGGAAGGAAGTGTCTTCCTCCTCTCTCATTCCCACCACAAAATAAGGAGCCTTGCATACGCCTCAAAAATTCAAAGCCTATCTCCCGATCGCTACCGCACCCTTTCTAACGTGTGCACTCCGATTTCACCCTTTTACCGCGCGCGCAGGGGTTCAACACTTTGTAGTTTACCACTCTCCTTACCGCCCCTACGGACCTACCAGCAGCTATCGACCTGAAGGCATGGTACATCGCCAACGGTACAAGTTTAAATTTCTGCATCATGCTCGGTTTTTATCAGCATTCACGTTTGCAAATATGAAAAGTTTCCTGTTGGACACCCAGATGTCTGTATAGGAAATCCGCTTTATAATGAAATGCTAGTTCTGAACATGAATGTAGGTCAAGCAAAAGGATAGCGACCAGGAATTACCATCTCCTACAATATTGTACGGTACATGAAGTAGTTTTAGCCACCTGTATGTTTGCAAATATGAAAGGTTTCCTGTCGGGCATCCAAAAGTATGCATAGGCCATTCGGCTAATAATAACATGAACGTAGGCAGGGCCGGACTGGCCCTGGAAGGGGCCCTCGTGGAACCGCGAAGGAGAAATTAATTGATAAATTTGCCAATACGTCATTCTCCTTTAATTTAATGTTCAATACTGTTCAGCCAGTAAGTTGTTTGAAATACAACTAAAAAAATCTGCAAAACCCTTGTCTTCTTTTTCGGGGGGAGGGGGGGGTCATGAGTTTGGGGGCCTTGTGGTCATGGAGCGCCCGGGACCCTCACCCACCCAGTCCGGCTCTGAATGTAGGTAAAGCACAAGGATTGCGGCCAGGAAATGCGTTCTCCTGCGATATTGTACCGTACATGAAGTATTGTGATAAAAAAATGTTCGTCAACTTTTCAAATTGGCATGAACGACGATTCTTCGTCAAACTTTAGAATATTAAAACACTATCAAGCGTTTCGAATCCGTTCGTGTGCAAATACGGTATATTTCCGTTGGTCATCCACGGTCGAGTTTGGGGAAAGGGTGTCAATGATTTACAAATCGGTTTTTAATTGCACCCAAAGTGCTGAAATGAAAGCCGTCAATCTAAAAATACAAGGATAAAATGTTACCCCTTAATAACGTTTGTGCTATTAAAAGGACGGAAACCTCGAGGAACCCTATCGTCAATCTACATATATCTAAGTGTTAATTAGTCATAGTCTTGATGGGATATAGTAACCGTTCATGAGTGTTTCACGTTTGGCGAGCTTGTTTCGTTAAATCAACCTAATCCAGTAATTCTGAGCGAGGGCTGAATTCGGCAGGAATTCGAAAATAAAATAAACGGAATTCTAAAGTGGGATGTTTACAGTGTGCATTTAGGCGAAAGTGGTTCTTTAAAACTTTAAAAAGCACTTTATTTGTACTTAGAAGTAGCTTGATAAAAGCGTTGTCTTATTAAAAAGTAAAATTTAGCGAATGTTTACTTGAAACAAAGAGCTTACACTGCATGTTTGATTCAAAGGCTTCATTGAAATGCGCTCTGCGAAAGTTGCTAGTTTAACTTTGTTTCACTAGCACAATTAAATTGAATTGAACACACTAGAGAGCCCCCAGGTTGTTTTTCGACCACACTATTGTGTGGATCTCTCTCACCTTAACCCCCCCTTCCCCTTCCCAGCCCGCCTTTATTTGAATTACGATCAAGTGACGCGCGTAAACCAAATTATGGTTCCTTTTTCCTGCCACAGTCCAATTTTCGTTTAGTTGTAATTTTAGAGGGCGCGCGATAATAAACTTAAAGCGGCCGAATAAAGGGAGCACCTAAGGCGGAGTATCGAGTTAAGACAAGAATTCGTCGTCGTTCAACTGTAACCCCGCTTGATTAACTGATTTTTTTTTGTGTGTGTTTGAAGAAAATTCCAGTTTGTTCCTTTCAATTTGTTAGATACCTCATCAGTACGTTTTCCGATACGATCTAAACACTTTAAGGCCTTTTACTTCTTTTAACTTAGTTTGGTTTACGAAGTTATCGCGTTCATCCCGTGCATATTCAGCAAATATTTGCGAAATGTACGCGACGCTAGATAGACGTCGGATCTTTATTGTAATGATCGCAAGTTAAAAGATGCGCTTACGTGCTCTTCTAAACGCGACAATTTGCTGTTCATTACAATGCGAACGTGATTATATTTGCTGCCCTCATTTGTAATTCAGTTAGTCGGCGACCTGTACGGCGTGTACGTTCTTGCAAGTAACCGAATCTCGTTTAGAAATGCGTGCGCCGAAAAAAAAAACTTCTGCGCGACCTCGGACGGCAAAACAAATAACTAATTGTAATAAGACATCTACTACAGCAAAAATAAAGAGCTAAGGCAATGAGAAATTTACCACAGGAATTAACCAGTGGATTACAAACTTGTCAGAATGTCGAATATGCATTGCGAGAAAAACGAATATAAATAAGAATACACACCAAGGGTTACTTAAGCGGAAAAAAATAAGCGTTACACGTTGTAAGAAAAACCGAAGTTGTTTAAGTAGAACTTTTAGTTGTAAAAATCCTGTAGTAAGTGTTGTAAGATTCCTCCGTTAGATGACTCCAAACCTTTGAAAT